AACCCCAATGGGTAAGACTACAGTATTTAAAGACTAAAATTATAGTTAATTTAACACAATATGAAGACAATTAATGAAATAACTGAGAACAAATTAAACATCAATATTCAAATTATAAATACAAGTTTTTAGCTTAGGGCAGGCTTTAACCTAACCTTACATTTTAAATTACCTCAAATAAACGTCTGAAATTATTAGACTGGACAAAATAAAATTAAAATGGTAACTAATATTCAAGCCCCCTTATATTGAAAAATCTGTGTACGCCACTGCATTTACCTCATCTACCCGAGTTGCTATAATGTCAATCAATAATAAACAAAATTAAATGTTCGATTTCCATCGTAAATCTCAAAATCCTTTTGAGAGCACCTCTCCTTAGGCAACTTTTCCAATTTTTCTTTCTATAAAAATATCATTCGGACATTTACAAGAATATGAGTAAAATCGGCCCAGTCGTTCTCACAAGTGAAGTGGTTACCAAAGGACAGAATTTATTTTTTATTATAATATAGACTAGGTATATTGTTGTGTATTTTTTATACACCGTGTGGGTCGTGTGTGTATTCAAAACCGGGGCTGGCCAGATTTTTGGGTATAATATGTGAATTAGTTTATAACGTACCAATATTATCGTAGCGGAATGCACCACTTTGAGTACAATCCCCCACCACGGCACCACCACCTGTAGCGCTGAACGAAGTGTGTAGGGCGAGTGCGACTGCTGGTGGAGCGCACTCTCATCACCGCTCACGGCCTTGTCGGAGGCATATTACTATAGTTTTAAATTTACCATATTATTAAATCATAGTTAAAATAAATATAATTTTTGTTAGACCACGGTGTAGAGATCATATATTATCTTCTCTACATCGTGGGTCAGACGGTCGTGAGAGACGAGGTCCAATCACCAGCCAATCCAAGCCGGAGCCGATCTGTTGCGGTTTTCAAATCTTCGTGGTATGTTATATACTTTTTATAGTTTGTTATAAATTATTAGTATTATTAGTATTTCTGTTTCACATAATATTACCTATATTATTATTGTTGTTTCATTCGCTAATGTCGATCGCGTTTGCCAATCGTTGTCGTAAGTTAACTGCACTATGCAACACACGGGTGTTCAAAGGTTAAATATGTTTTTGTAATTTGTTGTAAAACTTCAACAATTTTTTGAATAGATTTTAACAAAATTCCATCTCACACCATTAATTCTTTTTCATTCGTATAAAATATATTATGTTTCTTCATTCTCCCGCGATATTCCATTTTTTTTTCGACAAACTAAAAGACAAAGTAAACTTGAAAATAATTTTAAAAATTTTATCGGGTGGTGTTGGGGACATGTTCGTCTAAAAAATGAAATTGAAACCTATTAAATATTTAATTCGTACTTTATTTATTTATATTAAAATATGTTCTTATAAAACGCTTATTATGTTATACTCGAGAAGTGCAGTCTTCGCTTTACCGATCATCCATGTAAATTATAATATTTTAGCTGTAGTCGACCGCGTGTTTTCGCTTGCGATGTGATATATATTAGACATATATTACACAAAATTTTATTTTATTTTTTAACACTGAAAATAAATAAATTTAAATTTGATTCAATTTTATTTGGATATTTTCAAAATAACCAATTTGTAAATCTAATTATAAGAAAAATTTCGATACTAAAAACATTAATCTAAGTCAAGTAGTTTATTTTTTAGAATTTTTTAAAATATCAATATTTTTATGATTTAACGAATTTGCAACTTAATAACTTTTTCCAAAATATTTTTTTTGGGAATTTGCTGACATTAGTATATTTCTTAAATTATATACTAACCATATAATTTTAACAATTTTTTTCACACGTGTAAGTGTAAGTAGCATCATTTTTTTTCCTTCAAGTCCATCTGTTACACCTTTGTATAGGCACTAATTTTTATGTGATATAATAGTTATATTCATTGATATTGTCGTACTGTCTATTGTTTATAGGATTAACCAGTCATTTTGTTCACACAAATTTAAGGAATTTTGATAGACTATTGAAATTAATGTCGTTTGGGTTTGGCCCTTGTCGTTAAGACCGGTGTCGTTAATGCTCGTTATAGAACATATAGATGTTAATGACCATGACTAAATACAATTAGCCATGATACCCACCGACAGTATTTAAAATTAAAATTGTTTAAATATTTTTATTTTGAATTGAATATTGTATTCTTCGGCTAATGGAAACGATAATACGTTAGTAATCCATTAGGAAGACGGATCGGAATGTTTTATGAAATAGCTTTTACCTTAGAAAACCTTTCAATGTTGTACACCTATAAGGATAATATCGGTACCCTCCCTGTATAATTCGTAGGTATTATAAAAAATACGAATGTGTAGATTGTGGGTCATAGATACTTCAGTGGACTGGCGGGCGACGGCGATTTAGTACTACAAGGGTAGATAATAAACTGTAATTTATTGTTATTTGAGGGGATATGTGGTGTTCGGACTGTCGCGCCATGGTGTCGCGGCGGATGGTACAACCGGTCCCGTTCGGAATAATAGGTATAATATTGTTGGCAGTGTCGTCTTTAATGTATTGTATTATATTTATTGTTATACAGTATACTATCTTTTCTTGGGTATATTTTTTTCGGTTTTATAACATTCCGGGAACAAGACCTTGGACATATGAGGGGTGACAATAAAAATCGTGTAGTATTGACAAAATTGAGTTATACAGTATGTAATTTACAATATGTAGACGACCACGAGAACCCGGAGTATACCCAAGCCCATAAAATTTATTGTAACGAATATCGAACACATCGTCTGCATAAGCAAATTTTGTAAAAATAGCAACCCACAGTGTTTAAGCTTTTAAAATCGGAATAAACTAATATTGGGAGATGGTAAAATGTGGCAAAATGAACCTTTTTCTAGTTTTATTCGATATTATGTATACCGTGTAACCAGTGTTGGGTAAGTTACTTTTAAAAAGTAATTAAGTTACTTTACTCGTTAATAAGTGATAAATGTAATTAAGTTACTTTCCTCGTTACTCAAATAAAATTGTTATGAAATTACTTTACTTTTCAAATAGAAAAGTAACTCATTACTTTCTCGTTAAAAAATAATTTTTTTAAATTTCTTGGCAATTATCCGGCAAATTGAACAAGCAAATTATTTATAAAACCTGCATAGTTATTAGGATCATATAAAATGTAGTCTTCTACACAAGCTATATTCATAGGAAACCTATTTACAGGAATCAAATTAAATAATAAATTAAATGAACTGTCCTCATGATTTAAGGTGCAATTAGACATTTGAAATGTCAAAACCATTGAAAACTGAATTGTGCCAAACAGTGCTTGAATTAGGAAAAATTAAGTAGAGGAGCTCAATCTAACGATTTAAAAACTGCGTTCCAAGGCCGCAATTATTTAACACAGACCATACTAAAAATAGTAGGGGTACGCAAAAAAAATAAAAATAGTAGGGGAGCTCTGTCCCCCTGCGCACCCCCCAATTCAAGCACTGGTGCCGATTAAAAATTAAATATATATTGGTACATATTATATTAGTAAACATAATAATACCCGCATTATACATATTTTTTTTTCAATTCGAAATAGGTAGGTAATAATTCGAAACTGTAACGCGTTATTTTGTAGAAATTACTTTTCAAAAGTAATTTCCATTATACTTTCGTTACATTACTACCCAACACTGACTGCGGCAAATAATAATTTAACAGTATACAATTTGCGACAATGCCGTTTAGATACATTATACCATTTATACCTAACATAAAATCAACTACTATTGAATCATGAGTTAAAATGTCCTTAAGCCCAAATCTAAGGGGTTTACAGATTTTCTTAAATGTTTATGTAATAATTTATGGTGCAAGGCACATCGCTAAATATGTTTTTAGTTCCCAAAGACTCAGAATTTAAATTTAATGTAATTTAAGATTAACCATTTAAATAATGGAGTAGAAGAAGCATTTTTAAAATTATTAGTGATACAGGGCACGGCCACGCTGAGGTATTATCGACGCCGAGTCCGAACGGCTTACCACCTAGTTTTTTACGTTACCTTCTAAACAGGTTTTTTCAAATAGACTGAGCGGTATTATTCTCTTATTTTCTTTATGTTAATTACAAATATTGCCAGAATCGTTATTTAATGTTGGGAACTTGGATTTACCACGAAATATAACATTGTTGTTGTGAATAAATATTTAAAACATTTACCCTAATAATATAATAAGTGATCACAATTTGGTAGGTAACTACTACGGTCTATAGTCTATAGCAGGGGTCTCCAAACTTTTTTATTCAAGGGCCACAAAAAAAATCAAATGCTCTTAGCGGGCCAAAAGTTTATTAACACATATAATTTTTAATTTTATGATAATATATTAGGTACCTACCTATATAAATAATATGTTTACTTTAAATTTTTGTATAAAATATTGTTTACTTTAAAATATATTTAAATAAAAATAAATAAGTATAAATATATAATATTATATAAATACATTTTTGAAATAATTTTTTTATCTATATTTATCTATGCGTCCTATGCGGGCCACGGGCCGGTAAAAACTTGTTCGAGGGCCGTATCCGGCCCGCGGGCCGTAGTTTGGAGACCCCTGGTCTATAGTATAGACTCTATACAGTCTATACGGGACTACCTACCAACAACACTGAACATTTCGGTCGGATGACCTTTAATTTGATTCTGGTTTTATTTTACTGCTCAGAGGATTTAATGTGACAAATATATTTTTAAAAAATTATTAAGAATTTGAATAAAACATTTTTTGTTTTTAATAGCAAACCCCCCCCCCCCCCTCACCATTTCGAGTGAAAATTATTAGTTAATTTTTTTTATACTTAACTGACTGATAACCAACTTGTTTTTATCTTAAAAATTAGAAAACAGAGGATCCTGGGTCTAAATAAAAATTTAGCCATTGCCTATATTCTTGGTTGGAGATGAATACACAATTGATGGAGGCTGGCATACTGGTCGTGTATCTTTCATTAGATAGATTTCCAACTATAGCTTCATTCCAACATATCAACCACCATCACTCAATGAGTAAAGGCATCATTCTCATAACCGAGTTGGGATCAACCAAGTACGGCGATCGGCCGTCGAAAACGTATGCGGAACTCAATATATTGTCACTTTCTTTGAAATACACATCTTATACAGTTTTTTTTTGTTTCAGTTTGTTTAGCCATAAAACCAACACTAGCCATCGCCAACAATCAACTTTGGAGATGAACACACAGTTCAGTTACGGTATAGCTAGAGACAACCGTTTTTGTTCTTGATTTATTGGTGCTTTCACATTTCTTGAAATACTCCTCTTATCCAGTCTTTTTATTTCGGTTCCTTGAGCCATAAAGCCCGTCACCGCCATGGATCAGTCACGGTATAATGGCACCCATCGTCTTCATTTTCTCAGCATTTTGATTTGCAGCCAAATTCTATACATCCCCCAATTCATCAGTTATGTTAATCGAGAAAAAGCGGCATTCTCGTAGTCTCCTTGAGCCCAATATTACTGAGGACGGTGGTCGGCTTCCAAAATCGTTTGTGGAACTCATGGAGGCAGCTTGTCGTTAGTGGACGGAAGTCGAGTACGTTTTCAGTGGTTGAAAATGCGGTTCAGCGACGGCTTATCGCGGGCAAACAATATGGAGTTTCGTCGACAGAACTGTTGAAATACCTGTAAATACTACCTAGGTATTGTATTTGTTTGATTTTTCTTGTTACAATTATCATTACCGTTGAACATCTTCTTTAGTAAATTACAATCATCTTTTACATGAACCATAAATCAATGGCGGATCCCGGGTTCATTTTTTTTTTTTTGGTTGAGGGGCTCCTAAAAAGATACTAGGTACTAAGCCATAAATACAATAATAATAATAATAAAATATTCAATTATCGTAAATGTTTTCATTCCAATAACATTCCCAATAATGGTTTCCAAAATAGATAATAATAGATTGTGTAATTAATTATAATGCATTATATTACACACTTTAAATTATTTCTGTAAGTAAAAATAGGAGTCTGTTGAAGACGTCTGGGGGGGGGGGGGGCGAGCCCCCCCTGGATCCACCACTGTCATAAATCATGTAGGTTCTTTAATAAAACGGTTAGTCTCATTTCCTTACACCATTAACACTAAAAATAATTTACTTATAGAGTACACTTATCGGCGTAAGATGTATAATTTGTAACAATGATACATCTTCACAATTTATTGGTTTGCTTCTCATAGTTGGAGAGATGTACCTCCCAACTTCTAAATCATTCAAATAGTCACTTCCACTACAGAAATTTTGGAAAAACTGTAATTACTAGTTTATATGTTATAACGCTAACGTTCATTTGGTTATTGAAAAATGATTCTGAGTGGGGACAGTATGTCAGTCTAGGTTTAAGACATATTATATACATATCTATGGTATTAAAAATATTGACCTATAATAAATTCCAAATTAATCATATTACAATATCCATTAGGTACTTATAACGAGTTGTACATAAGCAAAAAACCGTGATACTATCGTAGATATATAATAGTACACTTTAGAAGTTTCAAGTACCCACGAATAATATTATACAATCACAACAAAATAACTAAAATAGTTATTCTAGGTTTTTTAATATGTAATGTCGTCCAAATTTGAACTTAAAATGACTATAAAAATAAACTGCAGTGCTTGGTATTTTTTAGATTTTTTGGTAACAGAATTAACTACTTAACTGGAATCTTGTTTTAAATGTTCAATCCTTAGATATAAAAGTTGAACATTTTATAAATTTTTAACTACAAAATAATTATTGAATTTTAAACTTGATAAATTTTGCCAAAATTGATATTTAAATGCTTATAAAAAAAAATTCTGCGTATGTATTTTTATTATTTTTCAACTGCTATTGTAACAATATATCAGAAGCATTGTATTAAATGTTTACACTTTTTTACCCAACAGGCAAAACTTTATTGATATTCATAGAATAAATAATAAAAAAATTTAAAACTGACAATGCTCGTAAACAGCTTAAAAAGCTTTAAAATATTTTGAAAATTTTATCAAGTATAAGAACTGATAAAATAAACATTCAGTGAAATTTGCATGTATCTGGAATCATTCGTTTTTGAATTATATCAAAATAAAAAAATCGTTACATGAGAAATCGAGTGAATAACCAATTTTGTAAAAACATAAATTTTAAATGCTCATACAAATTTAATTTCACTTTCCGGTAGACATTATTTTTTGATAAAGGTAGACAATCTTATGAAATAATTTGTATTACATTTTCAAATCTTAGATTTTAAAAGAAAAATTTTTATGAATTTCTAACTAAAAATAGGTAAATTGCAAGATATTTCGTGTTTTTTCTGTATTTTGTCAATGTTTGAACTTTATAAATGCTTATGAAAAAAACTGTGACTAAGGATTTTTAATATTTTTAAAAGGTCATTGTAACAACATAATAGGAGCTTTGTATTAAATTTTCAAGCTTTTTTACCTAACAAATAAAGTTTTGTTGACATTCATACAAAAAACTAAAAAAGTTCGAAACTGAGTATATCCGTAAACAGCTCAAAACAAGTCAAAATTTTTTCATGTATAGAAAAGGCTAATATAAACATTCAGTCAAAATGTCATGTAGGTATTTATTATCATTTGTTTTAGAGTTACACCAAAAACCAAATCGATTTTGTCGAAAACCGATTTTGGGTAAAAATTTCCTTTTTTCCTTAATTGTCATGTTGTTTTTCCCGAAGCTTTAAAAACTAATGAGAACTTTAAAATTTGACCCCCGAATGCACCAACTAGATTCACTTTCCCATCGAACAAGATACTGTTGAAGAAAATCGAAGCAGTTTTACTGCCCTATACCATGATGACAGACACAAAACTAAAAAAATTAAAAATTAAAAATAAAAACTAAAAAAACACACATTGTAAAATCAATACATTATCATCGTTCCACTCAGAATCTAAAAGGTGGACTGTATAGTGTATATAATATCAAAAGTAAAGTTAATGTGCAGTACAATATAAATATTTCAAAATGTCAAATCAAAAATAAGTCGTCTACTGTAAATATTGAAAATTACATATTATTATAGGTACATAAAAATATATGGAATTTAAAAATTCGACAATTATATTTCCTATTTTTGATGCTGTTTAAATAAATTTAATAGTTAATTATCTTCATCAGTTTTGGATTTTTATCTCTTATTAAGTCTATTGCCACATTATCTATCCCCTCCCATTGTCTGTCTTTTTAACGTTATTTTATAGATTCTGAGCGGAGCGAAAGAATGTATTAGTTTTACAATGATGTTTTTTTTTCTGTCTGTCTGTCTGGATAGTAAGCATGATTTTTGAGATCAGCATCTTTTCTGATAGAAAAGTGTACCTAGTTGGTATGTTTGGAAGGTCAAAATTGAAAATTCTAAGTAGTTTTAGAAAGCGTCGAGAATAACTAACGACTAATTACGAAAAACCACGCTAAATAATAAATATGGGATTTTAATTTCTAACGCTTTGCTTATCACCAAAGCAACAAATAAAAAATTATAAAATTATAAGGACTGCATTAACCACTCAGAATCATTTTTCGTACCTATACGATGGTTAATCATTGTATTCAAATATAACACGTCCATTACACCTACTGTACAACAGAGCGGTACCCACTTGTCCACCTTTTTTATCATAATATTTGACTAAACTAAGGGGTAATTTAATTTTTGATTAAAAAAATTTCAGCGAGGTATTCGACTATTATATCAAAAACCGGTATTATACCTCGGTATATATTTCTACATATTTCGAAATAATCATGATCATTATGTAAAAAAACGAAAATAAATTATATAGCAAAACTATTTTATTTAATATTATAATTGTTATATTATTATCTATCCTATTTGGAATGTAAGAATACTAAGAATAATACAAATAATACTTAAACTTTTTAACATTTTTTAATAAAATTGGTCACGACTTCAGACTTGCTTATATTATACATTTATACTGAAACTGAATGCATGTAATATTGTATATAATACTATAATAGTACTAAGTGTAGGTAGGTACTAAGCAATCTAGAGTTTTACCTGACCGTACTAAGTGTCCGCGTTTTGCTATCTTAGTTTTAAGTTTTTAACCCGACCGTACAAGTTTCGCACTTGACCAAGAAGTCAGAACCACCCGCATTTTATAGGTACCTACGTGTTCAAATATGTTTCTACTGTGACACGGCTATATGGATGGTAGGTACTAAATGTGCAACGAAAATGCGCCAAGTATCCAGTTCAACCCAAAACACCGTTCAAACCGATTATTTTATGCATAACAAAAATAATATAACATATAAGCTAACCTATTTCAATTAGTCTTTAGAATCGTTAATTTGTCTACCTTAAGTTAAAACTAATCAAAATTAACATGTGAATATTGTTATAGGAGGACCCGCATTCATCATCATTAAACAGAGTACGAGTAGATGATAGAATTATGGTGGCCATTGATTGGTTTATCAAATCAATAAATCTAATTTATCAGCTTCGAAGACAGATCCTGAGCCCTGTGTCCGAAGTTAAATGAAGGATCGAAAGCGTTTACATACTCTGTAAGTAATTTTTTTGTACAGTATTGTTTGTATAATTAAATGATACTGATAACCGTTATATTAAAAAACCAGGTGCATGCGAAAGATGATTGTAAATTGCAAAAGAAGTGCCAAAGAAAAACAAGAACAAGCTAGTATTGGCAGGTAGTCCGACAGCTTTGTAGACGATACTCGATACTGTTATGCCCGTGAAATTCCGTTGTCAAACCACATGTTCAACCACTGGCAACGTACTCGACGTCCGTACGCAAACGGCGATCTGCATTCGCGAGTGTCACAAACGATTTCGGAGGCCGACCACCGTCCTCAGTAATATAGGGCTCAAGTATACTACGAGAATGCCGTTTTTTCTCGATTAACATTAGTGATGAATTGGGGGATGTATAGAATTTGGCTGCAAATCAAAGTGCTGAGAAAATGAAGACGATGGGTGCCACTATACCGTGACTGATCCATGGCGGTGACGGGCTTTACGGCTCAAAGAACCGAAATAAAAGGATTGGATAAGAGGAGTATTTCAAAGAAAGTGAATGATCCGGGGAATCATTAAATGCTTTCTCGGTTCTTTCACTTTCTTTATTATATCTATATTATAACATATACTTATGTTACCATATAATATATGATACACACCATGTCAAGTTCATAACAGTTCTAGGCCAACATCAACCTGTACACTAAGGAACTCTGGATGACTTTAAATCTCGTTAGTCTTTCGTTATGCTTTATTTAATATGGAATTAATATTGTGTAATAATATTTAATCAAAATGTTTAATAATAAAATATTATACCAACTGGAACTTATTATTTTAAATGCAAACTGAATCGTCTATACCACACCCTCTTAAAGAACTAATAAAACATTTGTATACACTGGATCTAAAGATGTATTGATAAAAAAATGTAAATAAGTATACAAAATATAAAGATATACAGGTAATTATATTATATAAATAGGCACATGTAATATTTTTTAAATTATTTATAAAACAATAAAGATAAATCACTTTTAACCTCAATTACCTACTTACCAAAGTAAAAGAACAAAAAAAAATGTATTTAAATTAATTTTACTTCTATTAAATAACAAATACAAATTAATAACAAAAAAAAAAATTAACACCCACTATTTAACTACTTGTATAATATAAGGGTTGTTAAAATGTTTAACCTTTACATAAATATAGAAGAAAAGTACCTATTTATTTTTAAAAGTACTTATAATTTTTTTTTATTTAAAGTTGAATGTAAATTGCTCAGATGGCACAGAATCTGATTTATTAGGTATGATAATATAATCTTTAGATGCTTTGGATGTTGTTCTGTTCATAGATACATTTTTATTAGTATTCATTTTTTTAAGCGACTCATTTTGTAAAGGTTGAAGCATAGCATTTCCTAAAAAGTTTATACAAAAGTCATTAATGAATAATGTTACAAGTATATTATTACCTAATTGTAATTTGAAAATAATAATGTCAATTAGTTGCTAACAAGAGTTAAAAAAATATAATTAAACCATGATTATGAAATATGAAGTAATAAGTAAGTACCTACCAAATTATTTCGTAACATTTATACTGTTTATTTCGTATTTAAAACTTTTAACATCGGTTAACTATTTTATTATTACAATGTGTGGTTTCCCATAATTAAAAAAAAAAATAGTTTGAAATAATAATAATAGTTTAAATTAAAATGAAATATTAAGATATAAAAATACTTTGCAAATAATTATACACAACTGACCAAATTGTTGTGGTGTTTCTAATCCTTGGAAATTTGATTCAGGAGTTACATCTAAGTCATCTGCTATTTTGTAAACATTTGTTTTTATTTATTTAAATAAACAATAAATAAAGTAATAACTTACTCTTAAAATAGTTTGAAAAATGCAATTGCAAATTATCTGAAGATTCACTATTATCATGAGTATTTTCATATGATTCAGGTAAATCGCAATCCTAAAAACAAAACCAGCTTTAGTTGTTAAAAAATTAATTAATTTACTTACTTACACTGAAACTACTATTTGCACTATTTTGAGATATCGAATCTGAGAAACAGTTCCAAATCTCTTCATCTATTAAAATGCAAAATTAAGAAATATATTATTCCACAATAATGTTATGAAATTTCACTTATTCAACTAATAGATAATTGATTTAAAAGATATTTTTAATTATCATTAGGAATTTATTTTTAAATTAAAATACAGTATGTAATTCATAAAAAAAAAAAAAAAAATGGAGATCAAATAATAAATCAATTATGTATAATAAATAATATTTAAATAGGCATTGCAATGTTGGCATAATATATACCAAAGCTAATTAGTTATAAGTTATAACTTATAAGTTACCTACTGCCTAATAATTAGAATCTTATAAGACATATTAATATTTAAAAAAAATGGACTAAGAGTAGGGAATATAAGACTTTATACAGACCAGATACAGGTTTTTGTGGTTCATTAGATACATTTACATGTAATTGTGATGAATCATTAAAGATGTTGATATTATCAGAATCAAGATTTTTTACATTTGACTGTTCTATAGATTTCAAAGAATTTAATTTCTGTGAATGGTCCTTATCAATGAGATTTGAGTCATAATTATAACTGTCCATTGATAAACTCAATGCTTTAACTTTTTCTTGATTAAAATTGTTATCCATATGAATATTCTAAGTGAAATAAAAAAATGTATTAAATATTTATTATAGTCACAATATTCAATGCATTAAGGATAAATTAAAATAAAAAATAGATTGAATTTACAATAGGTACCTACAATTTTTCATTAAAAGGTTTGAAATGTAATTTTTAAAAAACTATTTCCAAATATTTATATATAAAATGGAAAAATCCCAACATGTTTACCATTAAAAATGATTTTTTATAGCAACCAAAATGGTAGGAATTAATGACATCCCATTCGTCCAGGACATGTAATTTAAATTTTTCCAAAAGTTTGGGTTTCATAAACAACTGTTTAATTTATAAACACAATTTTTAAATGTTCTTATTACTTTATTATTGTCCCTATTCATATAAGTGGCATTTTTTTCTAAATACCTACCTGCCTTTCATAATACCATTAAATATATACACAGTATTTGTATTTATAATTTTCAATATTTGGTATTATAATTAATCTAAAATTAGCAGATAATTAGCTAATATAAGTTATTCTAGTTTATTATTTTTTGCTTAACTTTATAACAATATTCTTACTGATTACCTACACTTTAAATTAGTATTAGTATTAGTTCTTTAAATTAAAAAATACCTGATTTGTTTTCATTTTACTTGGTTGAATAATAGTTGAATTAATCTTATTTTTATCTTGTACTGGAGTATATGGTTTTTTAAATTTAAAATCTGACTGTACATCAATAGTTTTACGTTTATTAGTATGGGCATTTAGATCACCATCATTCATAGGTTTATCTATGTTATTCAAATGCATCTCTTTTGATTCCATTATATTATTTTTGGTACATTGAATGGTAGTCTCTTCCACATTTTGAATATTTTTTAACTGTGCAGAATTGTTATTTATATTTTTGTTTGTTTCTACTAAAAATGTATTTATGTTTTTGTAAGCAGCTTCATTTTCATCACTTGTTTCTAGTGTTATCTTATCTTCAGAAAATGAATCAAAAGTTACATTTTTTTTTGGTTTATTATTTGAAAATGAATTCTTGATATCAATATCATCTTTATCATAAGTAAAATCGGCATGATTATTATTACTGGAACAACTTAAATTAGGGTTTAGACGTTGGCCAAACGAACTAAGTTTTATATCAAACATTTTGGGTTCAAATTTACTAGAAGTATGTGACCAAAACGATACTTTATTAATTTTCTGAAAATCAATTGCAATAATATTAACATATTAATAATTATTAAGTTAAATATAATAAAAATTTGTTTATACATTTTTTTGGGTTTCAAGTAGTACATTTTTAATATGACATTTCTCCTCATATTCTGTATTCAGTTTCCTAAAATATTATAAAACCATTGAATAATAATTAATACCTGCCTATATTCTAGGTGTATATCTAAAATAATCATTATTTTATTACAAAATTCAATTAAAAAAAAAAAACTATTTACCTTAATAGAGTCTTGCAGATTTCTTCTCTTTTATTTAAAGACATCATTTCAATATAGATTTTGGCATATTGTATGATAATATTATTCCGTTTTTCATCTGCAATAATATAACATCATTGAGTATAACACATAGTTTTAAAATAATAGAATACAATTATCAGTACTTTCTACCTAGCTATATTTTGATTGAAATAAAATCTATCTATTTCTAGATGAACTAAATACTTAGCAGAAAATTGTTTTGAATATAAAAATGCAATGTAATTACCATTTTCTTTTGTAGTTATGTCAATCTTTTTAACTAAATTTTGTAGATATAGAAGCAACTCTTCATATTCTAATTTTGTGTTTTTTAGTTCAGAATCAGCCATTTTTAATAATTTAACTTCAGGTATATTATTTAGTCGTTCCTAAACAGTTAATTGAATATGTATTTTCTACTTTTAGAAACTTGAATCTACTATACATATATTTTAATCATCTTTTCTAAATTTATTTCTACCACATTCTATATAAGATTAAAATTTAAAACTAAATCAATTAGCTATTAAATTATATGTATACCTTATAGAATTTCCATAAATTAGATATTTTTATATTGTTTATTTATAGAGCATTCATTATTATTAGACATAGTAGGTAAACATGTTTAGCAAAATATGGTTATCATAAAAAAAAAACTAAAATTATATTACTTTTTTTATTAAATTTTTTTTTTGTTAAATTCAAGTTGAAGGAGTTGTAATTATACTTTGGTATTTTAAATAGTGGTTAGGACATTAATTATTATTGGTTAAATTAAACCATCTGTTTAAGTTTTTGACCAAATATTGTTAGTATTTGAACCCATAAGTCCAAAGTATCTCATTATTTTTTATACAAAATATAAAATATTAATAAAAATAAAATTGCTAACCTCTTCTTTTTGCCACAATTCCATTCTTATAAATAGCTGTAATTCATATTCACATTTTGATTTATTTACTGTGAATTTTTTCTTTTCATATTGAATTTCAAGATGAGCTAATGTTTCATTAAGAGCGATATTAATGTTGTCAATACTAAAAATTAAAAAATTAAATAAAATTACAAATATATACCTATTCTTAACTTGATTTAATTTTTATAATCAGTTTTTTGAAGTTCTATAATAAAAATATTTTTAATTAAATTTTAACACGTAGGATATCAAATTATATTTAAATATACACCTAATTTATTTATGTAATATTATGTTATGAAGTACCTCACTATATTTTCTCTAACTTCATTTATTCTTGATTTAGTATCATGCAATTGTTTTTCAATCCATTCATTTTCCACAGTGACTTGTTGAGTAGAATGTTCGATTTCTTTAATACTTTTTACTTTTACTAAAACATGTAATTTAGGTTAGGTGAAAACTATGTACAATTGATTGTATGTTAATAGAGTTTTCTAAGTAAAAGATTATAAATATATTGATATTCGATAGACACTTGATAATTTGATGTTGGAGGGACTAAAGTTTAACAACTTTGGATTATCAAGAACAGTGGCGCCCAAGATATATTTTTCAGGTGTAGCAAGAAAACATTTTACCCACCCACCCCCTCAAAACTCAAAATTATATTATTTAATACATTTTATCATATTTGTATTGATAATATTAGTAAATATTAAGGTATCAACCAATATAATCTGTGATTAATTATGAACATATTTCAAGTTTATTATTTTTTGTTATTATACCCATCCACCCCTTATTTTCAAGGTGTAGCGCTACACTTAGAAATAGGGTTGGGCGCCACTGATCAAGAATTAACATTGCTAAGAAGTAAGAAGATTCAATAAAATAGAGGGAAAAAACTGAATTATAGACTTGTTAAAAGTAAAGTAGGTACCTATTGTATGTATATTGTATATAATGTAAAATAATAATAATTATATATAACTTTTAAGTACAATACATTTTTCCTAAATACATATAGATTTTTTATGGGCAATTGGTATGGATTTATTTATATATGCATAGAATCCCGGCATCGTTTGCTTTTTTTAGTATACCTATCCATTTATACCTATCAGTATTTATTTCCAGATATATTTCAAAAGTTTGGTTTAAATTCAGTTCCGTATTAAACAAAATGTTTGGTACGGGTTCGGGTTGAGTTAATTTTAATGTTAAAATGTTAAAATTTAAAACTTTTACAAATAATATCTATTGTATTCTTATTGATATGTCAATACTTATTATTGGTTATTATTTTATCACATAAAAAAAAATAAAATACATTTTAACCTAAGAACTAAATTACTTTTTAAGAGAAAAATTAAATAAAATACTTACAACGACACTTTTCTTGAACTCTCCAAAGTTCAATACTACTTTCATAAAAACCTAAATTAAATTTACTCATGTCATTATTCACACTTGCATCATGTTCATCAACACCTGACATTATTTTATCTGAATAGGTAGACTGAATTTGAAAATAATAATAAGAGATTATATTAAGATATACAATGTGGAATATATAGTCATATAGAATATTATACTTAACTAGTTCACTAGAAAGTTCGAGTAGGTAGTTAATACTTACCTACCTACGATCTAATGGAAAATTTAAAACGTACCTAATATTTGTTTATTATTTCAGTAAATACCGACAGACAACTCCTTTCTACTTGGCAGTAATAATTGGCGTCTTGCTGTTAAAATGTCATATTACCATTAAACTAATACTAAAATGCTGTAGTACCTAATACCTAGTTTTAAATGTATTAATAATATATTAAAATATAAAAGAACAAAGAAATAGGAGTTTAAAATGGCGGGTTTCCACTACAAACAGCTGGACGTGTACACGAAAAATGTCCAACAACACGGTATCGGTGTTAACCGTGTGGTAACTCAAACCAAACCAACCAATCACAGATGGCTTTCCAGTTTCCCCTATATAGATACGTGTACGTGTATAAAAATACTTTTCTGTGATTGGTTGGTGTACACAGTAAGCTTTTGGTATACCAGAGTGTTTATACGTTCTTACCACAGTCTTGCCACAGTCACCTCACATGCACTCCTAACGGCCTTCGCCGCCGTACTCTGATGACCGACCCGTTCCGAGTCCAACGGTATGGCGACGAGAGTCTTAGAAACTCCTTCGGCGTCGTGGCTGGCATATCGGTCCGGACGCGACACGCGACGATGGTCTGGGTGATATCGACTCGAAGCGTCACCCCCACCCGGCATGCCCTGTAAAACTGTTACCTAACCAGTAAACGGAAGCGGCGGTCCGCCGTCTTGCGAGAGTTGGTTTTGCTCATTAAACAAATTTCAAAATTCTATGGTAGAATTATTGATTTTAACCGAAATTCCAAAATAACTGTAAGTAAAAAATGATAACATATTAATGTTATGGAATAGTATATTAATAGATTAAATAATTTGTAAACGTCGTTTAGGGAATTTTCAATGAATAAACAGGAAAATACTCGGATATTGATGAAGAGCTTATTGTACGAATCATTGAAAATTCCAAGTATGAAAAATATTTAGTTGACACTGAGAAAATACCCCAGTACCTACCTCTGCAGTTTTGGTCCACAACCATGGAATGTACTCATGGGGAAGTGATTTTAAATCAGCGAAAACTCAGTAAGTATAAACATTTAAAGTATTAGAAACACAAATTATTTATTATTTTTAATTAATTCTTACAGTGCTATGAATATTTGTTCAATATAACAACTTTCAAGAAGGTACTCAATGTTTAATCAAATTATACTCTCACATGTTAACTTTACCTTACTGGGAGAGCAATTGGGAGTGTTCCGTTTTATTGACCTATTAATTAATAAAATTATTTTCAAGCTAATATACAAAGGTCTTCTTATAAAAAGATTTATTATTTTTTTATTTACTATACATCATATAGTTTATGAGAATATTATCATTATTACAAAATTTTCAGTTATTTAAAACAAAAATAGTTGGCATGTATGTTTATGTTATATGAAGGAAAAGGAACATAATATATTTATATGTGCTTGCCAGCGGTTGTTTTTGAAGTTACTCATTTGGGCTGGCCAAAATAATTGCCTCATTCCCCTATTAAAAATTAGATTGACGCCACTGTGTTTGGGAAGGTAAAAAAAGTTATATTTCTGGTTTAAGGGCCTGTTTGATTCATATTTCCAGGGCCAAAAAAAATCATAAATCCGCCCCTGAATGTAATTTATGTTTCAGAATAATGATTCAAAAGATCACCCTCGTCGATACAATTTAGAGCGTAAAATAAAACTGTCAGCAAAATAAAAATTACGTGAAGAAAACTTCTGTTGTACGCTCAAGAAGAATAAATTTATTAAAGTAAGATTAGTTTATCTAATATTTACTTTAGGGTACAATGATAATTATATAGTTGATGGTTTACCGATTTAAATATTACAGTCAATAAATGACATAATAGGTACATATGTTATATCTTTATTCTTTTCAGGTTCAATATTGATTTCATCAATAGGTACTGCATATAAATTACATGGCTTTTTTTTAATACCGACATTAATAATGTTTAAAATAGATAACTCAATGTCCTCAATAGATCATGCAATATAGATTATATACCAATTGAGTTTTAGTAAATATTACAAAGTTTTTTTTATTGTATAAAAATATATTTATTCTTACTTATTTAGATGGACTTGTAGCAGTAATTAAGATACTGAGTATTCATTCTCATTCGATAACTACTGCTGAAGCTTTGAGTAGTTTAAAAGTGTCTGAAAGAACTAAAAAACAATTTGAGAGTTATTTCAATGATGGACTTGTGAGTATAACTAAATAAGTTATAAATAGTGAACCCATAATATGTTAGCAGCAAAGTTTATAAATAGGTCTTTGTAGCTCTATGTAAGACCTTTGCATTTTATAAATTTCGAGCCTGATTTGAAAGAAGTACCTATATAATATATTGTTTAATTAATAAATTACATTGGAATTATACTTAACCTAGGCATTATATAGAATAACCAATTTTTTTTAATTTTATAGTTTAAAATACTATACCTAGTAATTAGTACCACTCTTTGAGAGGAATGAAAAAATGTCAAGGAACTAATGCTCTGTTAATACGAGATAAAATCCATAGTGTTGTATTTAGAAACAACATAATATTATGAATTATAACAATAAAACAAATATTTAAGTTATTCAAATAAACAATCTTGTGTAAGATACTTATTAAATAAGCTATAAAGATACAAATACACTAATCTAGAAAGTGTATAACAATTTTTCAATTACTTTTATCATCTTTAAATACTAGTTGGTTTTCCAAATTAATTTTGAAATAACTAATTTAAAACTATAAAGACTTTATAGGACCATTTATGAGTGTCTTGAGTGAAAAACTATTATAAAAAAAAGGTATAATAATTTTCAAAAAAAGTGTGTGATGACTGATGACTTATGAACAATTTAATTGAATTTTGAAAAGCATTTAATTTTCAAATACAAATATGGCCAAGACAGTATTTAAAATACTTTACAAATACTTAAATTAAAATATTATTATTATTTTTTAGGTATAACTGATGCAATATTATTTCATGAAGGAAAATTAGAATTGGAAGGAGATGAAAGCATTATCGCCAATGCGTCATTAAACCCAAAATACAGGACTGTTCAATACTTACATAATTTATGGAGGACACTGAATTTAGGACCTAGGATAGGAGATGGTGTTTTGGAGGTAATATTATTAGTTATCATAACACCAATTAAAATGGCTATTTAAATAATTAATAGTACCTAATAAGTTACCTATTTTATTCTTTTTTAGAAACTTAGATCAAAAATGTCCTCGTATAATGAAAAAGGTATAAAAATATTAATAAATGAAGATCCTTTTTCAATAGTAATATGTACCCCATTGATGCAACGTGCACATAGCTTGCCTTACTCAGTGTTTGCAGACACTACAGCATCGTGTGATGCTCATAACCATGCTATTACATTTATGCTCACACCATGTGCAGTTGGAGCTATTCCATTGGCTGTAATTGTGACAAAAGGCCAATATTTCAATGATTATAAGGCTGGTTTTGAATTAGCTCAAAGATGTTTTGGTGATGATGGATTTGGTGGTCAACAGTTTCCTAAAATATTTATGACAGACGATAGCAAAGCTGAGAGACAAGCATTGAAAACTGTATGGCCAGATTCAAAACAATTATTGTGTCGTTTTCATGTTTGTCAGTCTATTTGGAGGTGGCTATGGAGCAATGAAAATAATATTGAAAAGTCAGATCGTCCGATTTTGTATTATTTCTTTAGTAAAATGTTGAATGCCCCAACTGCAGAAATAGCTGAAGTTGCTTATAATGAAGCAATTAATACTGCTAATATATATATTTCCAAATATTATAACTGGGTAAAGTATATTAGTTCATACTGGAAACGCAAACAAATTTGGTGTCTTGCATACAGAAATTTTGAAACACGAGGTCATCAAACTAACAACTTTAGTGAAGTTTGCGTTAGAATTTATAAGGACATCATATTATCTCGAAATAAAGCATATAATATTGTGTCATTAGTAGACTTTACATGTACTATAATGGAACAATATTACATTCGTCGAATTAGGAAATTTTCTAATGGTCGTTGTGATGCTTCACGTTTGTTTATGAATTCTATGAAAAAGTATTTATCAAAGGAAAATATTAAAGAGATAGATGATCATATGTTTAAAGTACCTAGTGAAACTGGTGATAGTATGTATGAAGTTTACACAGATTTAGGCTGTTGCACTTGTGAATATGGGCGTTTAGGCAAATTTTGCAAACACCAAGCAGCAATATATTTTTATTTTGATAAAGAGCTACCTAATGCACCACCTGTTACGGCACATTGCAGGCATGCAATGGCTGCTTTAGCATTTGGAAATAAAGTACAACCTTTATCATTCTATACTTCCTTAAATGAAATAACACAGATATCAGAAGAGAATAGTTCAATTGATACAAACACTGAACAAGAAGGTACTAAGACAAAAGACAACGAAAATAGTATAAATGAGTATAAAAAACATGAAGTAAACAGTGAAATAAGTGATAATGTTGTATCTACACATATACCTTTAGACGATAGTTCTGAATTGAATGGAGAAGAAGAATTTAAGAAGGTCATTAACTTGATGACAGAGAACCATTCTAAATATGGATCCTCAACAGCATCAACACAAATGTTTTTAAAAAAGTTAAAAAATGTAAAAACAAGAAATAAATTAAAATATAAATAAAGAAAAATTCATGGGAAACATTTTTAGCCACTTGTGGAAAACAAATTTCTTTTAGCCTTGGAGCTAAATCGAAAATACATGTTCAACCTACTTCAATTAGTCGGAGAAGACCAGAAGTAACAAGAGGATGCAAACGATTAGCTGTTGGTCGA